ACTTTATTCTCGTAATATTTCGACTTTATTCTCGTAATTTCGACTTTATTCTCGTAATTTTGACTTCATTCTCAAAATATTAGAACTTTAATCTCGTAATCTTAGATTTTGTTTTTTGTCTAAAACGCCGTCGTAGACTTCTGTCATAATATTGCAGTACCATTTTTTTTTAAAAAAAGAAAGAAAAGCTGGTAATTTTCTGCCAGGACAGTAATTTTACAGACTTTCCATTCACCTTAAAACACAGCGCAATGAAGTGTAAAATTCAAAATACATGTAAAATACCTGTGAAAAAAAAAATAAAATAAATAAATACTGAAAATTTCTTCATATTAATATGGTACTTTGCACCCTTTTTTATCTGTTTTTAACAGTGTTTATAATTTATATATGAATTTACATAACTTACAAATGCATGTAATGCATGTAAATGCATGCATGCCACCTTTGAGCAGCATTAAACAGTCTATAAGTGTAAATAAACATGTCAGATGCAGCTTCTGTTCCATCTTTGCAGTGTAAAGAAGGCATTTGTTGATGTTGACAAAATCCCTTTGGTTACAGTCTGTGTAGTATTATGATTGATTGAAATAATTGGTTATGGTTACATCTAAGTATTTAACATTAAAGTTACCACAGACACATTTAATAAAAGTAAATATGAAAATTCTCCTTAAAAAAAAAGTCCTGGAAATCAAGCGGGTAAATATTGCCCATTAATCAAAAAAGTTAATTTCTGATTCTGGTGATAAAGATAATTTTCACAATACTTTTTATTCTAAATGTTCTGATTTCACTGCATCGTGTCGAAATGGTAAAAAACCCACAGGGGTTTCTCCGGCCAGACCTGACAAAAAGAAGCTCTTTTACACTGACAGCTGATATCTGCTCTTCTCCGGCCCCATTGGACTCATACAGTTTGATTCATGTGCTTGGTTGAGCGTCTGCACGGCCCCTGAAAAGACTGATGCTGGGAAGGGAATGACAGATGGGCTGTTTGATGGAGAGAGGCACTTTGGCTGGGAATCAGAGGACCGGGGTGCTGCTCGCAGTCAAATGCATCACGGCTCGCAGACTTGTGAAGGGGTCTGCTCTCTTTAGATTAAAGTCTATAGAGAGATAAATCAGCAGACGCTCGTTTATCAAAGACGGAGCGGCTGTCACTGTGTCTGACTTCAGAATCGCTAACGGTCAGAGAATGGGGCTAATTATACAGTAGGTTTGATAGCACAACATGACAGTTTTTATGGATTTGTTCACATTGCACCCAATCCAGATTGGTTTTTCCTCTGCTAACATGCTGACTATGTCATCTTGACAAATGCTGCATATTATTAAAGGAATAGTTCACCTCAAAATGAAAATTTGCTGAAAATGTATTCACTCTCAGGCCATCTAAGACAAGTTTGTTTCTTCATCAGATCAGATTTGGAGAAATTATCATTACATTAGCATCGCTTCCTCAATGGATCCTCTGCAGCGAATGGGTGCCGTCAGAATGAGAATCCAAACAGCTGATAAAAACATCACAATAATCCATAACACGACTCCAGTCTATCCTGTCTTGTGAAGTGAAAAGCTGCTTGTTTGTAAGAATCTATCAGATTAGAGTCTTTTATTCATAATATTGCTTTATCCAGTGAAAAAGTAATCTTGTCTGAATCAGGAGATAAATGCACAGATCAAACAGAAGTGAAAACAGTCCAAACCGTTCTAAACAAATATGTTGGAGGATTATGATGTGAGAGGACAACAGGGGATGGACTTTTTCACTGGATGAAGCGTTATTATGTATTATGGACTCAATATTTTGTCCAGAAGTGATGGTTCAATATTAAAACGCCTTAATGATGAATCTGTACAAACACACAGCTTTTTGCTTAAAGTGGTCATATGATGCGATTTCAAGTTTTCCTTTCTCTTTGGAGTGTTACAAGCTGATAATGATTTTAGATCATTTTTACTGTTCTATTTTTCATTTATTTAGTCATTGTATATATTGTGTTGTATATAAATAGTACAGAATACTATAGAATTTGAATATAGACCACCTACTGATCATTGATAATAAAATTCTAGACTATTTAAACTGATCAAAAGTGAAAGACATTTACAAATTATTCAAAATATTTCGATTTTAAAATAAATACTATTCTTTTGGAATTCTATTTGGAATCAAAGAAAAAAAAAAGCATCTCTGTTTCCACCAAAATATGAAGCAGCACAACTGTTTTCAACATTTATAACAATAATATATGTTTCCTGTGCAGCAAATCAGCATATTAGAATGATTTATGAAAAACAAACTCATCTATACCTTGGATGGCATGGGGGTGAGTACATTTTTGGGTGAGCTATTTCTATAAGTATTTTTATTTTTTGCTTAGAGAAGTGTACCTGGGAGCACAGTCCAGAAGGTTGCACGGCCGTGGTTGACTGATCGGTTTGGGAAGAAGATGACAGACTGAATGAGGCATCTCTTGGCCCTCTGACGTCAAACATTGTACCTTTCTCATCTGAGTCCCTCTGTTGCCACAGGAAGTGCTGCATGTGCTCCACTCACCCAAACGCCACTCAAACTCTACACCCCGCAAAAGACACAAAGAGAAATACACACACAGTTAGAGATCATATTAAAATTCTTGGTGATACAAATAAGTAAAACAAATTTTTGCTCTGTAGTCTTTGTATCATTTAAAACGGACTTTTAAAATGATTTTAGATCATTTTTACTGTTCTATTTTTCATTTATTTAGTCATTGTATATATTGTGTTGTATATAAATAGTACAGAATACTATAGAATTTGAATATAGACCACCTACTGATCATTGATAATAAAATTCTAGACTATTTAAACTGATCAAAAGTGAAAGACATTTACAAATTATTCAAAATATTTCGATTTTAAAATAAATACTATTCTTTTGGAATTCTATTTGGAATCAAAGAAAAAAAAAAGCATCTCTGTTTCCACCAAAATATGAAGCAGCACAACTGTTTTCAACATTTATAACAATAATATATGTTTCCTGTGCAGCAAATCAGCATATTAGAATGATTTATGAACGATCATGTGACACTGAAGACACTGAAGAGTAATGATGCTGGAAATTCAGTTTTGCTGTCACAGGAATAAATTACATTTTAAAATATATTAAAACAGAAATCAGTATACGATATGGTGTCAATATATATCCAGACATAAAGCCTCTGAATTTCAGTTATAAAGGACAAAACAGGTAAGGCATGAATCAATACCAGGGAAGCACTATTAGAGAAGCACCACTATTACTCAAGTGCTGCCAAATTGCCTGATTCAAAGAGAGAGGTTATAGGGGCCATTTACAAGCCCTTAAAGGTTTCTAGGAATCTGGGCTTGAATATCTACACAATTGTCTCTGGCTTTTAAAATTCCTGGCATTGTGCGGGAACTGAAAGGAAGACATGCAGTTTTAACAAGACACAAATGAGCTCTGAGAGCTAGGTTTTCTACAAGACAGAACTGAAGTCCAATTCATGTCCAAACCTTCAACATAACACAGTCGAGTTTTACTTTCCTGTCTATTCTGGGTGTTGAGTTTCATCAGAAGACTACGGCTATTCATCATTCACACACTTTTTTTATAAGCACTTTTTGCTGACTTTATGTATTGCACTTCTTTGTATTGCACTACTTTATGCACTTCTTATGTATTGTCACATCACACATACAACAAAGATACATAAATAAAAATTATAAATATATATTAATCTAAAATATCTAATAAAAATATATTAATCAATAAATAAATGTATATATATATATATATATATATATATATATATATATATATATATATGTGTGTAATAAAATTATTTTATAGAGAGAGAGAGAGAGAGAGAGAGAGAGAGAGAGAGAGAGAGAGAGAGATCCTGCATGCTTTCTCTGCAATGACAGATATATTCCCTTCAATATATAGAAACAAGGACTTTTTCTGCTTTATGCTGAAAGCTTTGATGATATGAGTTTGTCACAATGAATTGCCTCATCTGTTAAGGATATATGTGATGCTGCTTGCTTAAAGAACTAATATTTCTTAATATTAAACAGCAAGAGTGTGCATCTGATGCTTGAAAATGCTGCCTACAGAGGCAGCTCACTAGGATTTGGAAAAAAGCCCCCCAAAAATGATTTGCCACAAATTATATGCTGCACACATGTTGGCAAATACAACAGATCATCTGGCTATCCATACATGCATACTGTACACATGCACATTGCACAATGAATATGTATTTCCAAAACTAAAGAGCTCTGAGTTTATTCCCCCATATTGTTTTAATTCACACTAACCTTGTGAAAACACATGAATCCAAGCTGTGAGACGCTGCTGGTTGTTGGTTTGTGTTTGGCACTCATAGCGTCCGTCAAACGTCCCTCCGTGCGTGTTCATCTCCAGAGCTCGTCCCCCCACCAGCATGCGGTAGCTCACGCCTGGACTCTGCTTTAGGGTCTGGTTCTGATAAGACCACTTGATGGGCATCCTGTGACTGGGGACCACCGGGCAACCTGAACGGGGTTATGGGTGAATTTTAAGAGGAAATGGGGATGAGGTCTCCTGCCATTTGCATTTAGTCTTAAAAACAAGACATTTATTGACTGAAGTGTGCAAAACATGCACTAAAAAGAGCATTTAAACTAAATCAAAACAGTCTAACTGGAAATCTGAACTCTCACACACAGAAAAATAAGAATAAGGGCTACAGCAGTTGTGCAGGTAGACAAACACTACAGTAAACTCTAGGCCTTATTCAGCTAACAATTCATGTTTATGTCATAGAAAAAAGCATCTATTCACTGCAAAAAATACGTTTTTTTTTAAGTTGTTATCCAGGTAAAATATCTTAAAATCCTTGAAATAAGATACATTTACTCTGCAAAACAAGGTAAAACAACAACAAAAAACATGTACAAAAAATACACATTCTTTGAAAACTTGTCTTAAAATCTTATGCAGTGTTGCGTCTTGAGTGCTTTTAACAAAAACCATACAAGCATTTCAGTTACTTGAAATAAAATAAAGATTAACTGAAATAAAATAATATAAACTTATTTTTATTTCACCATGTTCTCAAAGTAACATTTCTCATTTTCATTTAGTTTTACAATAACTCATACTAAAACTTTTTTTTTAAAACAATAAATAATACAAATGACACTACGGAAAACATTGCATTTTGAATAAATAATCTTAATAATAAGAGTAATAATAATTACTACTACTACTTATAATAATAATACATTATAATAAAATGTACATTTACTGATTTTTCATTTATTCAAAGTGATTTATAAATGAGAAAAGTATTTGTGATAAACAATATTACTTTCTTTGTGTGAGAAAATACTTAGTATACAGCCTTAACACGCACCAAAAAATGGCAAATTATGTAGGTAAGACTAATAATATGGTGTTTAAATTTCAAAACAAGCTCATACACTCCTAAAAATAAAGGTTCTTTGTTGGCATTGACCATTCCATGAAGAACCTTTACCAACAATGGAATCTTTCCATTCCACAAAAGGTTCTTTAGATTATAAAATGTTCTTCACACTAAGAATTTTTTTTTGGGGGGGGGG